GCTTAGAGATACTTCGAACACCTTCCAACCAACATACCTAAGCTATCCAGATCATCCATTGCTAGCTGTAACACCCTTAACACACATTGCCATTTTTGTTTCAAAGCTTTGCAGGTTGAGTTCTGTAGCACGATTCAGGCTACTTCAAAACAAGCCAAGCATTAGAAAAGCTTCAGTGGACCTCAGGCAAGCTCAAAAGAAGCTCAAGCGCCCTTGGAAGTTGCTGCATTGTCCAACTCGAAGTCAACTGAAACAGGTATTTCATGAACTTCTATCTCTCTATTTAGGAATAGTTAGACCTAGGTTTATGAATGAAAGATGTTGTATTCATAGCCCTGAAGCCATACATATGCTTAGTTTTCATTTATATTAATCGTGCTAGGAGAATTTCATCCATGAACTTTCTGAAAAAACTATGTAAGAAATTAGGGCCAGAGAAATTCTCTCTGGTCTTTGAGAGTTAGCTTAAGTTTTTTATATGGTTGGATTTGTTGTTTGATGCTCTACAAGTTTCATGTTATGAGTTTTGTCAAAAAATCAAGGAATCGGGAGTTACAGTTTTGTACATAACACGCGCGGGCAGGTCTGTTCAAAGGAAGAAGATGAAGTGGATTATGGGCTGGGCCTGGTTTCCTTTGCTTTTGGCACCCCCCCAATTCACTTTCAGCACCCCCTGGCCCATTATTTTATATTTTCACTATTTTTGGATTTTTATTTTTCCTCTGACCTTGATATTTTATTTTCAAATATAAAAAATACTAAAAAATTATTTTTATAAATTTTTATATTTATTTGGCATTTATTTTAATTATTCCTAGTATTAATATGATAAATACTTTATATTTATTTTTGTTTAAATGTATAAATAATGTAAAAAATACTTATATTTTTATTTATTATTTTTTTATACACACTTGAAAATATTTCCTTAAAATGTATACATTTTTTTAAATAATAAATTTTTATTTTTATACACTTCATATATATATATATATATATATATATATATATATATATATATATATATATATATATATATATATATATATATAATATATATATATATATATATATATATATATATATATATATATATATATATATATATATATACTATATATATATATATATATATATATATATATAATATATATATATATATATATATATATATATATATATATATATATATATATATATATATATATATAATATATATATATATATATATATATATATATAATATATATATATATATATATATATATATATATATATATTATATATATATATATATATATATATATATATATATATATATATATATATATATATATATATATATATATATATATATATATATATATATATATATATATATATATATATATATATATATATATATATATATATATATATATAATATATATATATATATATATATATATATATATATATATATATATATATATATATATATATATATATATATATATATATATATATATATATATATATATATATATATATATATATATATATATATATATATATATATATATATATATATATATATATATATATATATATATATTAATACACATATACACTATTTTATTAAATAATTAGAACAAAAAATACAAAAATAATACATTTTATTTTCATTAATATTTTTATACTAAAAATGCCTTTTTATAATATACTTTTATTTTTATATAAATTAATACATTATTGTATATAAATAATATATAATACTATTTATTTAAGGAATTAGGGTTTTTTGCCCTAAATAATAAATCAATTGAAAATATTAACCTTGCAAGGGGTCACGACGACCAAAAGGCCATATCCTTGCCCGACATTCTCCGCTAGTGCAACGTCCTCGACTCCATGCCATCCTGCTCGACCTCAGCTCGAGCACTCCTCCCAGGCAAACTCTATCCACTACGCCACCACCTGGATCCCGAAAAGACCGCATCCTCGTCCGTCCATACTTCACGCAGAACATCCAGGAAGGGGACCACGTGCGGGTCCCCACTACGCACGTAGAACCTGACAGTTCCTCCATTGGGCCAAACCTTCCCGGCCCAATGAAGGACCCTTGGCCCAGCGCTGGGGGCTATAAATACCCTCTGTTCCCAGAGGGTCAGGTATTCATTCTTTTACCCACACTCATACTATTTCCTGCTCGTGCTCTTACTTACTTCAGCATCGGAGTGCCTTGCAGGTACCCCCCCCCCCACACCTCGTTCAAAACTTCAGCTCGGAGCCAGCCGTGACGGTCCAAGTCTGATCAGGTTAGATCAGTGGCGCCGTCTGTGGGAAATTAGCTTCCCCGTCTTGCAAAACTCAAAGACCAAAGCTCAAATTCAACTACCGATGTCATGGCTGATCAAGCTCGCGATGAGTAGAACGTCCGCGTCCTTGACACCAACAACGGCACCACGGATAAAAACGGACATCTTGATAACACCGGCAACCCCGGCCACAACACCATTCCTGCGGCAACTGCCCCCGGACCGTCAACCTACCGGGACGGAGCTACTGCGTCATCTTCCTCGGTCCCTCCGCCACTCGAAGACGATCAAGCCGCCCTCGCAAACTACCGGGCTGCCCGGTTCCAGGAAGTCCCCGTCCCTGTCGGGGCGGATGCCACAACTCAAGCGCTGTTCGCAGCGATTAATCAAACAAACTATCTCATCTTCGCCCAAGGAGAAAGACTAAGGGCGCTTGAAGACGACCGAAGACCCCCGAGGAGGCACCGGAGGCCCCATACTCCACCTCCTCGAGTGACTGAAGTCCAACTCCCGTCTCCCCCGCGGAGACATTACAGAGAAACCTCTCGAATCCAATCACCCCGACCAAAGGGGAAACGGCCTCATTTGGAGAGGCAGCCCATCATTCAAGCCGGAGAGCCTAGTCGCGACCCGGCGAGACAAGAAAGAAGGCACTCCGGAGACGGGCGTGTAAAATTCAACCACCGAGCATCCCGCTCGAGAGAGACTCAGCACGACCTGGACCGTCGTGCCAGACAGTATTATAGGTCCCCATCTCTGTCTCCGGAGAGAAGCGACGAGGACGACCCCTGCGGTCCCCTGTCGCAAGCTATTATGGAAGCGCCCATCCCCCCGGGCATGGAGAAACCCCCACACCTGAAGGAGTATGATGGAGTCGCGGACCCGGTCGACCACATAGATGGGTTCGAGGCCATGCTCCATTACCACAATGTCGGGGGCCCATCAAATGCCGACTATTCCCCACGACTCTCAGGAAGGCGGCAATGGACTGGTACAAAGGACTCGCCCCGGGCTCAATCACCTCGTGGCAAAACCTGAAGAACCAGTTCATCAGTTCATTCACGGCCTCTCGGCGTCATCCAAAGACCGAGGTGGCTCTCGAGGCCATCATCCAAAGACAGGATGAGACCTTGAGAGAGTTCATCAATCGCTTCAACCGGGAAGCTATACAGGTCCCCTGCGCGGACCATATGAAGAGATATCTGCTGGAGAGGGGGCTCCTCCCCAGCACGGAATTCAGAAAGGCCGTGGGCATCGAGCCACCTAGGACATTCGACGCCCTTCTCGAAAAAGCTCGGGCATACATGGACTACGAGGAGAGGGAAGCGGCCAATAGAGCCCGAGATCCCAGGACTCGTGGGTCCAACAGCAGCTCACGCCAAGAAGCTCCTCCTCGACGAACCGGGGAGAAAAGAAAAGAAGAAAGACCCCGGGAAGTCCGGGAACAAAGAGGACCTTTGGGGCGTTTCACCGAGTACACTCCGCTCATAGCTTCCCGCGAGCGCATTCTGGCGGAGTGAGCCAGCACTGACTTCAAGGACGGCAGTGTCAAACGTCACTACAAGAAAATTAGGATTTTACGACACAAAAATTGCGACAGTTACTTAATAACCGTCGTAATTCTAATATAGGGACCCATGTCACGACGGTATACACCTACCATCCTTACATATTTAAAAAAATATTAAATATCGCGACAATTTTTCATTAAACCGCCCTAAAATGAATGTTGCGACGGTTAAGAAACCGTCCTAAAATAGACATCACGACGGTAAAACAACCGTCGCCCCCCTAAACCTTTAAAAAACATGCAAAAGTTATGAAAGGGCACGACGGTAACCACACCCGTCGTCCCCCTAAATCCTTTACCCCGCTTCGTCTATTTCTCTTTTTATTTATTGTTCACGTATCTTTCTCCAAATTTCTTCATACTTTTGCTTTTTCTCTGTACAAACTTCAACCACATCAATTCGATGAGAACCTTAAGAAGCTTCGATGGCTTCCCTTTAAATTTGAGCATCTTCTCTCGCTATTCCCAATTTGAAATCCATTTTTTGTGTGTTTTGTGTTTGGTGACGTCGTGTTGGTTCTGGAAATTAGGGTATCAAGCATAGGCAAAGCCATCACCCGACTAGCTAGGGCAGTTTCCCAGGCTCTTCCTTCTCTCGTCTGAACTTCTGAATCTCATCGCAATGGTCGCTCTCTCACTCAGGAAATCGAATCTGCTCCAGGAAGTATCAGAGTCAATCTTCTCCTTCACTCATAAATATGTGTTCTTTTTTAAATCAGAATAGGGTGGCTGGAAGAACATCAATGGTTGTGGCACGTTCTGACTCGCGGCATCGGGAATTCGTGGTCGTAGTCGCATATCATTGATTGTCTTTAGATGTCGAATCGTCGTGAGTTATCTTCTTCTTCTTTTTTTTCACTTTTAAGCTCGATTTTTTATGCGGGGTCGTTATTCTGTTGTTAATCATTGTTGTTGTAGGTTGTTAACCAAGTGTTCGGTGAAATGCCTGAACCATGTTGTTTTGTTTTTCGGCCTTGAAATCTCTTGGTTGCATTTCCGAGTTTTTGTTATTGTGTTGTGATCGATTGTGGTTGGCAAATTGATGGAGAATTGCTGAATTTCTTACTTTATTTCTTGCTTCACTTAGACTGCAATGCCTGCCAGACTCTATCCGATGGCGTATTCAAGCTGTAATGCCTGTGCTCTCTCCCTCTATGTGGCGCTCTTTCTCTTGCCAACCACCATCTGTTCCGAATTCTTCCATTGTATCTCTTCAGCCCAGCATTAAAAATTTGTTGTTCTGGTTGTTCTTTTGGCATAAACAGAAGGCACCTAACCAATTTAATATGGAACTTTGTTATTCTGGTTGTTCTTTTGGCATAAACATAGCCAAAATTCAATGGACAAACATGAGGAGTACTGTAAGAAATTCAGTAGCTATATTTACTTACTGTAGAAAACTAACTTATATTCGAATTAGAAATTTTATAAGTTTTAGTGGATGATATATTTTGTTAAATACCTATCTAAAAATTTCAAAATTAATGCATTCCTTGTGAAGTTGTGATTGATTCTTTGGAATATCAGTTGTGTTTCTCTGAACTCACCTGTTTCCTTTGAATGCTTAATATGTTTTTGTAGTCTGCACCAGTGAACATTATTGTTGGTTCTCATGTCTGGGTTGAAGATCCAACACTAGCATGGATTGGTGGTGAAATTACTAAAATCAGTGGTGAGAACGTCCATGTTCGCACCAGAGATGGGAAAACTGTGAGTCAAGCTGTCTATACTTTAACTGCATTGGTCATTTGTGATAACTTATGATAAATATGTTCTCACTCAATTATTGTCATATTTTTATATTTTTATTCATGATATTTTTTTATGAATTCTTCTAAGTGATCATTACTATTCATAAAGTAAATTAGTGTCAAAAGAGAGTTTAATTAAGCATATAATTATTGTCAAATTTTATGGTAGGATTAATTGCAAGAGAGATCTAATATAGTTTCTCAACTCAAATTAGAAGACATGCGAGATTCAATTGAAGGTTTGGCATGAAGTGGTGAAAAACACAAGAAGGGGGGGTTGAATTGTAAAACTGAAATCTAATGCAATGAACAAGATATTTTTATCCTGGTTCGTTTGATCTCAAACTACTCCAGTCCACCCGTCAAGGTGATTTCGCCTCTCTCCAACGAGGTCTTAATCCACTATATTCAACTGAATATTACAGACTGCTTTAACAACTGCTAAAGCCTTCTTGATTCAAACCACAACCCGGTTTGTCAAGGTAACACTTTCTTACAAAGAGATAAAACTATGTGTGTGGATGTTTTCTACAAAACTGTATCACAACTGTGATGTATACACAAACTGAAGCTTAGAAACTAGATTGCTAAACAGTAATGGAATATTAGAGTGTGTGGTTTAGCAAAACTGAGAGAACAAAGATTATGGTTTAGCTTTTTGTGCGTGTAGAGATTTGGAGAGCATTAACCATTTCAATCTTCAAAGCCTTGTTTATATAGCACTGAGATGATGAACGTTGGATGCAATATTCTTGATTCAATGCTAATAACAAGCTTTCCTTATTGAGCAGATCTTGTCTGGAATGAGGCCGTTGGAATTAATTTGCTTTCAATGCACAGTACCGTTTCTTACTTAATGCAAGTTCTGGCTTGGCTCATTCTGACTCTGCTTCGCTGCTGATGAACTATTGTGTTTCTGTATCAGAGTGTTAAGTGCAGTCTTGTTCATCAGGCTTCAGCATGTACGTGAGTTGATCATCTGATTTTGACATTCTGATGTAGCAACTTCTGATGCTGGTGTCTGAAATCAAGTTCTGATGCTGAATAGATGTGATCTTGCTTATATCAATCAGAGTATCTACAAGTCAGAACATAATAATTTTAGGCAGCAGATAGTTCATACATGAAACTTATAAATACTATATCTTTTCACTTTGTTATCATCAAAACTTAAATATAGGGTAGTAGATTCAAACTTTGTTCTAACAATCTCCCCCTTTTTGATGATGACAAAAACTAGATATTTTAAATGAAAATAATCGTGAAAAGGTATCTGAAATATGTATCAGAATAAGAAGTAAAAGAATAAGGAGTAAGGAGATGTCAGAGTTGAGAGATACTCCCCCTGAGTTTATTACTTCCCTTTGATTATACGTGTTCTTCAGGATCAGATCTTTTTGCCTTTCTTTGAACATCAGAGTATCAGAGTCTTTGACTTATCAGAAGCTTTATGTCAGAGCAGAGCTTCAGAGCTTATCTTGTCAGAGCTATGCTTTGGATCAGAATATTAGAGCGGATCAGAACTTCATAGTGATCAGAGCAGAACTTCATAGTGATCAGAGCTTCTAGTCTTCAGAGTGTCCAGGAGCTTCCTTGTGCCTGTAGACTTTAAGCAAAACAGAAAAAAACATTTCAAGTAATAGAGTTAGAATGTTTGAGAATTTCTGTCTAGTCAGCCGTTATTGATTAAAATATCATTCTTGTTCTCCCCCTTTTTGTCAGCAATCAAAAAAGTGTTGGTGATGTGCTAAAACAGTTAAGATCAGAAAAACTAATTATATTAAGATAGTTCAGAATCAAAACAAGAAAATATTACAAAACATATTCAATCAGTGCATCAGAAAAATCGAGGAAAACATGAAAAAGGTCATGCATGAAAAAAAAAAGAGACTAAGGTTGAGGAGGCAAGCGTGTGAACAGGTTCTCCAGCATGGCTTGAATCTTTTCAGCAGTCTCATTCTGCTTATGCACCATGCTGACAACAGTGTCAATCTTGCTGTCCTGCACATCCATTCTCTCTTTCATCTTCTGATCGTTTTCATCCATCCGCTGCTGCAGACGCATGTCATTCAGCCTTAGTTCTTCCAGAGTCTGCCTGTCCAAGGCAGCTTGAGAAGCATCAGAATTAGGAGGCTTCTGAGAACTTTCAGCAACATCCTCTGCTAGACTTTCTTCAGCTTGAATGGTCTTGTCTTCTTCTGATGATTGCACCTTTGCAGCTTGCTGTTTCTCAGACCAAGGTTCACTGTCCAGAGGGAGCACGTCCTCTTTCAGAAGCATACTTCCAACTTCATTCAGAAGCTTGCTGAAATTTTGTTGTGCCTGCTCATAGTTGATATCTTGCAACTTGAGGGCTTCAGCACGTACCCAAAGTCTGAATTGTGACCAGAGCTGATCAGAAGCAGCTGGGTCAATCATTCCAGGACAGACTTGCTTCAAAGAAGCAATCCGTTGCAACACACCTGTTTCAAAATTCATAATACCAGAGCCAACATCTGGTTGCTGTGGTTTGGGGATGGCAATTTTGTGTTTCAAATCAGCAAGACGGTCAAGACTGGTTAAGTCTATGAAAGTCCTGCTGGGGTTTTCAGAGGTTTTTTGAGCAGCTGTTTGTTTTGGAGATGGAGTATCAGAATCAGAGATTACGATTGGACTGGGTGGTGTTTTGGGAGTATTTGGTGGTGTCGATTCTGATGAGGATGGTAACTGGGGCATGATAACAGTTGTTCCACATGGCAGCTGGATTGCCAGTGGTGAAGGTTGAGGTGAATGAGGTTCAGATTGGTGAGGGGAAGGAGTTTCAGAGTGGTGAAACTCTGTGTGTGGAGATGGTGGATTAATTTCTGGTTGGGGAGAGGGAGTTGGAATCTCTGATTGCTCAGGGATCAGAGGTTCTTCTGAGAGTGGTTGTTGTTGTTCTGGTTCTGGTTGTTGTTGTTCTGGTTCTTCAGCAGATTGCTGTTGTTCTGGTTGTGGAGGAGGAACATTTTGTGGTTCAGAGTTTGGTTTATCAGAGGCATGTTGATCAATATCAGACAGCACTTGGTCAAGTGCTGATGTTGTTGAAATTGTTGGTTGTTTGGGGTGTTTGGTTCTGGGTCTTCTGAGTTTTAATGCCTCAGAAGGGTCTTCTTCTTGTACAGTTTCATCTATGGTAGGGATGGGGATTGAGATTCTATGAGAGGTTTGAGGAGGGATAGATGCTGGAATAGTAGAAGAATTAAAAACAGGGGCAGCAGATGAAATACCTCTTTTCTTGGGAGTCTGCTGAGATGATCCTTCTGATGGCGCCTTCCTCTTCTTTGTCTTCTTCAGAGTCACTTCTGGTTGAGGTTGATGCAGATCTCTGATATTCAGCTTTGGATCTGTACCATCTGCCTTGCACGCATCCAAGTACCTGAGAATCACCTCTGGTTTGGATTCAATTTCAGAAAATAACGGAAAGTCACTCAGAGGCACTCTTCTGCTGGAGATATCAGCAATGGGAGTAGCTCTGGGTTCCTTCTGAATATTCTCTATCAGCTTCATCTTTTTCAGGTTCTTTGCGTTCTGAGGTTTCCCAATTGTTGGATCAATAATGCTTAGCTCTTGAGCTTCTATCAGATGCTCAATCAGTCTATTCTCTGTCAGAATATCTGATATCAACCTTCCAAAAGGTATCCAATCCCTCTTGGTTCTTTCTTCTTCCCTTGTTTCTTTCACACTTGTTCTGAGGTGGTTGAACAGGAAGTGAGCCAGATTGATCTTTATCTTCTGATCAATAAAGTAGATCAGAAACTGCTGATCCACATTTATGTAATCAGGAGAACTGGTTGGTTTCCTGTGGTTGAAGCACCCCAGAATAATCTTAGCCCATACTCTGAAATGATCCTTCAGATCTTTAATCTTGCTGCTGGGCATCCCAAGAGTGAAAATCCTGTCAGCTACCACACCAATATCAGCACATCTTTCAGCCATGTCCACACAACGGACGCCACCACCACTTTGACCGATTAGCCTTGCAATGTGATCTTCAGTAATTACAATCTTCTTCCCCATAACAAAGGAGGTGACTAGATGTGTTGAAGCCTTGGCGTGAATCCAAAATTCCTTGACCAGCGTTGGGAATGTTGGTCCAACCAACCTATCGAAATACCTTTCCCACTTTTGAGCCCTAATTTCTTCAGTTAGGTCAAAACCGTTCTCCTTCAAGCTTTCAAAGTCGATGATTAATTCAGAAAGCACTTCAAGATTCTTCACCGGAGTGAGGAGAGTTCTGAGTGGCACTTGATATTGCTCGGATGATGCTTTCTTCTGAGTACCTGCAGACACGCTGCTGGAGGTTGCCATGTTCACACTAAAAGGGTTTTGAGAATAAACTGAGGAAAATAGTTTGCAAGAGATGAACACAGAAATATGCAGAAAATGCTTGAGTATTAGTGAGAAAGCGTAAAGAATAAGAATGAGAGATTAATGTGCTTAAATAGAGTTTTCAAAACTATTTTGAAAAGATAAACGTTTTTAAGAGAGAGAAAAATCATGATTGCCATTTAAAAGCATGATTACTTTTCATTAAATGCTTGCTGATTTTGGGGGATTTGAGAAAGATACTTAAAAACGGTTACCAGACATGTGTCTCAATGCACCCAATCAGCGCTTTGCCTTCTCAGAAGCGTGCACGCGTTCTGCCTCAGAGATATGCTGATGATTGGATGACACTTGTTTGATGTAGTGATCAGCACGTCTGTCTTTGAGCTTTAGACTCTCAGATCTTTAGACTTGCATCTGATACAATCTGCATGTTCTATCTTTCTGAAAGGAGATTGATCAGAAGTTCACAGTAAAACAATTACATTCTGAAGGTAAATATATGGAATTAAAACATTTTCACTCTGGGCACACTTTCATGCTGAGATGTTTCAGAATGAAATTAAACCTATCTTCTGAAAGGGGTTTAGTAAAGATATCAGCCCATTGATGGTCTGTATCTATAAATTTTAAGTTCAAAATACCTTTCTGAATATAGTCCCTAAT